CAGTTACATTGCTATCCCCATACATTTTTATTAATTCTCTTGTCTTTTGTATGCACTTCCCTGCATTTATTGAATGTCTCCAAGAGACGCACTTATGGTCTCACAGAGACCATAAGTGTGAAGTGTGTTCAATTCTGATGCAATCCATGCCTGATCCAGTCTTGATCTGCTTAATATAAATTGTTTTTATATGCTTTTATATGTATATATATACATATATATATACTGAAACAGTTACAGAGCACTCCAAACAGCAGCATGGCACAGCTTGCTCCATTGCACAAAACATTGTTTGATGCCACAAGATTCCTTTTCATGCTAAAAGGATAGCATGACTCCTATCTGTTTTGCATTCAGATGTGTGCAGTGTCCAGGACAGCTCTCACGTCTGCCCACAGTGGCTCTACATGCTTTGTTTTTGAATTAACCTCTCTGTAGCTGCTAACAGCTCATGCTTCCTTAAAAACAGGAGCAGCAAATTGCATGCCTTCTACCTGTGTGTTTTTATTGTGCCAATAACCCGAGTCCCAGGCACTAAGAGATTATTGGTAAAGAGAAAATATTTGCTGTATTTGCTTAATGCCAGCTAATTTTAGAGTTATTCAGATCTCTGTTCACTGCTGCTTCTATCTCTACTGGGTGGACAATTAGCAAGCAGATTTTAAATGAGTTTGGACTTCTCTTTCTTACACTCCTTTTTTGTGCATCTATCCAGCTCCTCCTTCAGGGCTCCACTGGCTCTTTTCAACCATTTTTTAGGCCAGGAAATGATCCTTGTTTCCTTTTGCAACTCTGCATGGTGTTTTTACATTCAGAAAGATAAAAAATAAAGACTTTCCAGAAACTTGTACTGTTTTTCCATGAGTGTCTGCATTTACTTTGGAGCAGAGGAAATTCGGGAGGAGAGGGAGCAAGACTCTGTTTTGTATCATCGGGTTTTGGCAAAAGAGACTCAAGATGTAGTGCTCTTTTCACGTACTCCTTTGCCTCTCTATTGACTCTACCTTCATTCCTTAAGAGACTTTCTTGATGACAGTAGAAGATTTATCCCAAAGTTTATGGCTGGGTTTTTGGAAAGCAAAAGCCTCAAAAATGTATAGAGCTCTGCTGCGTTGCAGGGGTGGAGAAGGAATCTCCATTTAACTAGTCATGGTTTACTTAAGGCATACAGAACGTTTTTCATGTGGCTTGGATGTGTGATTACTGTACATTGATAACTTTTGAACTATTCCTTTTGTGTAAACTCACTGACAGCAGCATGATTTTCAAACAGTTTCTAAACACAGGTGGTTTTGACCAAGACCTGTAGGTTCTTGCAAAGATGTTTGTGGCAGAAGAGGCATTTAAATTGAAGACTTACAAGGACTTCTTTCTTCCAGTCTGATGATGATATTTGTTCTTCTTTACAATGTTCCAACATTTTTAGTTGACAAAACCATTGGGGTTTTCTTTTCAGGAGCCAATAAGAACTGTGTCACCCAGCACCTTGTTATAAACATTTTGTTCCTTTCATGTCAGTTTTGCCTTCAGTAGAAGCATTTGCAGCAATACAGGGATCTCCAATTACTGTAATATGGATGAGAGCATTCTCCAAATTGTAGTGGTTTCTTGGGCAGCTCTTAAATAGAAGCATCAGCTTCAAAGTAGCCATATGGCTGTTTGGGCAATGGGTCCTTATCTGCCCGTGCCTTCATCCCTCTCTTATCACTTCTCTATCCAGAACTTCTGATACCTTCACCTTGCCTGCGGGTACTTGTGAATTTTCAGGATGTAGAAAGACTTTTGTCTCTTTCTTAAAAGATTCAGTTGTTGAGAACTGGTGGAAAACTGGCCCTCAGAGGCTGTTACAAGGACGATTATCTGTTGGCAGCAGCTTAAACAGCAGTTTCTTGAACAAGGTCAGTTTGTGCTACACAAAAGAATGTTTCTATTCAGTGTCAATGAAAGAGCTTTCCTGATTACAAGAAGCAAAGATATTTCTCTGCTAGAACCTCTTCCCATCAATAACACATGTAACTGAATTTTCCTAAAGCTTAGGAATTGCAACCCTTCAGAAGCAAGCATTGCCTCCGTGTAACCCTTTCCTTGTGAAGGCCACAGATAAAAGTAACTCAGCACAGTGAGCTTACTCTGTGTCCTCTCTGCACCCTCCTCTTGCCCCACCAGTTGAAAGCAGAAATGCCTGTTGCCCAGTGTATGTGCTACATCCTGAAGGCCAAAGCCTCAAGTTTGTGTGAGATGAGTAAAAAGGAAGATGCTATAAAGCATAAGCCTAAACAGTGCATAGCTGGATGTCAGAGCTTCTGGACAGGCGTCTTCCTTCTCTGTTTCTGACAGTGTTGATTAGTGCTGAGAATGGTGCAGGACAAATTAAGCTTCTTTCTTTTTTTGTACTGATTTGCAAGCTGAGCTTAATTACTCTGACAGAAGGTGTTATTGTGAAGTTATTCACACTCTGGTGCTGGGTAGGTGCAGCTTTGTGAAATTGCTTCTGACTTCAGATAAGGAAGCACCTGAAATTTGCCAACCTGAAGGATAAAGGGAGACTAATACTGATATGTGATGCTCTGAAACTAACCAAAAATCCAGCAGAATTTTTGCTGAGGTTGTTTTCTCCATTAATACAGATGCTCACTCACTCCACATCAAGTAAACAAAACGAACGAGAGATATGAGTATATAAAAATGCAAGGCCTGAAAGGTAACTAACCCCCTATATTTAGAAGTGTAGGTCCAATTTTACACCCCATCCACTGTTTCCTGTTAATCGGCTCCAGCCATTGGGAGCAGATGCCAGTTGTGTAGTCACACTGTGCCTCCATGTGCATTTATTAAATTCCCCTCAACACACTGCAAAAAGTTCCCCCCAGATGGCATAATCTAAGCCATGATTCTTTGAATTGGATGGATTATGATGCAATTTTATGCAAACTATAATTCAAGCAAAATGTGTAACATACTAGTTTTCTGGTGTAGTGGGATGTATCTGGCCTGCTGGCAGCTGGGACTGTGGCTATATTAAGAAGTTGGCAGAGCTGGTGCTGTATAACGTTGCTCTGTAGGCAGATAGTTAAGTATCTTAATCAAGGCCAGAAGAGAAGGGGTGGCGGCAAACTAAACTGCTAGATTTAAGCCTTTGTCTCATTGATTTGACTTGCACTATAGCTATATATGAACAAATCTCCATTTTTAAAGGATCATTGACAAACTGAGCCTATTCAAGGTGTAATTATTTCATGGCAGTAGCCACATTCCATTTGCCTTGCGTTTGTATAAAGAATTTGCACTGTTGTGTTTGTGGCTGAGTGCTTGCATCACTGTTGTCAACTTTCTTCTGCAGTTCTTGTGCAGGAACTGGCGTACCTGTTATGATGGGTTTCTTGTATGGCTGGAAGGAATGGTCAACAAGGGCAGAAAGAGCAGAACCTGCCCTGCACATCGGGCTGTGTACCTCTTTATGAGTTACATTTTTCCTTTTCGCTCTTCCTATTGCAAAGGTTCTGGTCAAGTCTATGGAAGCTCAGGCCAAATTGGTGAATGACAGTTCTGGAAAAGGCTTTTAGGGAGAGCTGTGAAGGCAGCATGTCAGAATGGCTGTAGAAACATTGTGGGTATGGGGCAGACAGAAAAGGAAGCTGCCAGCTTTGCCTTGTAGCTGTTGACCAGGAGAGTTTGGACTCTTGGTCATGGCAGAAACCATTAATGCATCCCTGTGTCAAAAATCTGCTGTGCTTTTTGTGCTATTCTGTACCAGGATCCTAAATACATGATCTGACTATGTGTTTCCAAAAAAGCAGTAGGCAATTTCTTGTTCTGTTTCCTTTAATTTAAATATCTGTGCAACTATTCCAGTTCAGAGAGTTAAAAAATAGAACAGAAAAGTTTAAGGCACCTGGATGGAAGAAATCATCCTGCAGATACGAATATGGGTTATCTTTATGTATTTCCTGAAGGAAAAAAAAACAAACGAAAATTCCTAAAACACAAATCCTCATCTATTTATTGGAATTATTTTTGTGCCCTCTGTAGAGGCTGCTTTCCAGAAAATTAAGACATGACAGAATGATGTGGGTCCTTTGAACTGGTGCCTGGGTTAACAGCTCAAGCGGAAGGGCAACAGTGGAAATCTTTCTGAATTTACACCTAGAAATGGAACGAACAGAGAGATCAATGGTGTTTCAGCTTAAATTAATTTTTATACATTAAAGCATATATTAAAGTTGAGGGGGATTACAAATTGCCTTTGAGCAGTTTAAGAATAAGACTTTGCTTGATGAAAGAGCGCTACGGTGGCTGTGAAAGCATTCTTGATTTGCTGCAGGAGAGGAGCGAGACAGTTGGGAGAAACCTCGGTCAGATGTGCTAGAACACCCTTTTTGTTTATCATTACAGGTGCCTGGTGGGGTAAATGTAACCGAAAGAGATTAAAACTGCTCATCCAAGTTATAAAGAGCTCGTGTGTTCAAAACTTCATCTAAAAGCACCCTAATAATTCTCTTCAAAATTTCCATTGTGCAGTTGATAACTTTTCCTGAAGTCCTGAAGATGTCATCCAGTACTGTATTGATGATGTAACTACACAGTTAACAGTATTATACTGAAAAAAACCTCTTGGCCTCAGTTCAACACCAGTTAAAATAACTTTTTTTTTCTCCCCAGGTTCTGGAATATCTTAATGTAGGAGCAAAGCAGCCTTTCATAATAGGGAAACTATATGACAGCATGCTGTTTGAAGTGCTTAGAATTTAATCTTGTTACTAATTTTGACAGACATTTCTACAATTACTTTCAATGCGTTCAACAGCCTTGTGGTGAAACAATCACTGAGCTTTTGTTTGTCACATGTATTTACCCTTTGTCGCTAGTGGGGGGAAGAGAGGTTGTGAAGGGGACAGTTTGCCTGTTTTACCTATTTGTGTTCATTTTTTCCTCCAGTACACTTGTATGTCTTTCATGTTGCTCATACTTGCTTTTTTATCTCTCTTTGTTGTGTTGTGTAGTCTTGTACAAATGGCTAGAAGCAGATCTCCATGGCAAGAGCTCAGATACTGCAAACAAAGCCTCAGGTAAACAGGGGTGAAGGACAAAGCGATCGACAGGCCCTCCGTGTTTCTTTACTTTCCGTCCTCCACCTTTGAATCAAACTAAGGATCAGAGCTTAAAAACAAAAATGCTGGCCTTTTTCATCCTTTTACCTAACTTAAATCAACATCTGGTAAATTTTATTCTTTTCCTTGAAGCTCTCTTGGCAGATGTGCTTCTCCTCTCCCAAGAAATGCCACTAGTGGTGTGAGGAACACACACGATACACAACCCGCTATGTCTTCCAGCTTAAATATGACCCGTCATTGAAATATTGAAAAATCCATCAGGAGTTTTACTAGGTAGGGTAGACCCTGCTCGTGCTCTGAATAAACTCAGATTCAAAAATTTTGAAACAAAAACTGTTTAGATTGCCTTGTCCCAGTCCTGTTCATATCATCTCCCTCCTCCACCGCAAGATTAAGAGAATACATGGTAGGAGTGGTGGGAGACAGTGCCTTTGATTTCGTGTCCTTGAGTACTGAGTAGCTAACCACTGCTGCCCCAGTGTAATGAGGGAAGCACAAAAGAAGAGCAGCAGAGCTTGAAATAACTGATTCCTGAACCTGACAATTAGCACTGTTATTCCTGTCCTCACGTTGTCCCCACCTGCACACTGTATATTGCTTGCTTCTCATGCAGGATCACACTGTTATCCAATAAGTTCAGCCTGCAGGGAAAACATGGCTGGATTAATTAGAAATAGCTATCAAAGAGGTTGTTGCCATGTGGTACAGAACTGTGCACATTTGTGTTCTCAGTACATTCCTCTAAAGGAATAAAAGATATTTTTATTTCGGTGGTCATAAGCATTCCTGTCCACGTTCCAGAGCCTGTAAGGACCAGCAGATAGTACACATTCCCTGGACCAGAGGGTGTGGTTGGAGGATGCCTTTGCATTTGTAGTATGTATTTTTGTATGCCTCTGTAGTGGATTTAAAACATCACTGAATTTTTAAATATGATCACTCATGTGAAAGCCATCATGACTGACAACCTCACAACTGTAGCTTACTTTTCCTAGTAATTTTATTGTTCATCCAGAACATAGAGATGTTTAGTTCTCTACTTTTGAGAATTTATCTCGCTTTGAAAGGAAATTAGCATGTTTTTTTCTTGATCTAGCATCCATCATTTCATCATTTGCTTTTAATTTGAAATTAAATGCCCTTTAAAAATGATTGCCTTCAAGGGAAGGAACCACATTACATAACACACAGTATCCAATTGAAACTGAACTGAAATGTGTGAATCTGACGCATTTCACAGGATTTTGAGAAATACTTCAATTGATTTTTGAAAGCGTCCTGAAGGTGAAAGGATTCTATTCAAAACTGGCTTCTTAACTTGTCTCTGGAAGGCAGCTTACCCTACCAGGTTGTGCTGCTTGCATGAATGGGTAGCACACATTCAAACAGCGTTACTGCCTGTATTCGCAGTACCGTTATCTGGCCATTAATATTTTAGAATATGGATTCAATTCGCATTTGATACTTGCTTCATTCTTAATGTGCCCTGCTAAATCCTCTTTTGGGAGCTAGTAAGCAAGCACTTAAAAAAAACATGGTAGATTTAATGACAATTCACTGTTATCCTTCAGCTTCTCAGAGCTGAAGGAATTTTTCTTGCCATGTGACTCCTCGGCTCAAGCCTGAGGCAGATGAAAATGCATCACATAACATACCCTTCAGTCCAGGCTCCTTCTCGTGTTTGCCAAGAAGGTTTTGCTCTCTGTGGCTCTCCCCTAGCCCCTTCTCAGTATGTCTGTGCCTCTTACCTTGTGTCAATGAGAGTGGCTTGGCCAAATGAAAACACTTCACCTTGATGTGTGGGCTGCTTTATGTCACACCCCTGTGCTGTTTCTGTCCTAAATTATTTTTCTTCTGTGAAAGTTTATCCTGCCTGGCTTTCCACGGGCAGCTTTGTTTGGAGGGTTGCAGTGCTGTGTCTCCTCTAAGTAAGGACCAATTGATTCCCTCTGGTGTGGCTTCGTGGCTCTTCTCTTGTACTGATCACTGATAGAGAAAATTGTGATTTGTGTGTGTTTAATCATTGGTTTAATTTAAATATGTATAGATCTGTCTGTAGTAGTAAAATGCAAACCCTGCAGAGACCCTACAAAGGTAAGTTATCTGTGTCTTTTAATTTCCTGGATAAAACGAATCCATGTTGTCAGCCTACTAGAAGATTGTCACTGGAGTTTTTGGAAAACTGGATTCCAGAAAGTAATGCTTGTGCTTCCCAAACAGGATGTTTTAGACCCTTCTGACATCTAAAGAACAACGCAAGTGTTTGCAGCAGCACACAAATTGTTGGTCATCTCCAAAAGCTGGTTAAAAACCTCAGGTTTTTCTCAATTACTGTGGCTTACTGGCAAGTATGCCTTGCTCCTGTCCAGATGTTTCACATAGGCGGAGAGGTTTGTGGGGAAATTTGGTCTAATTTGGAAATAGGTACAGCTTTATCTGATGTGGTTAGTACTTGAGCCACCAAAACAGGAGAAGAGGGCATTTTTTCTCTGCAGGAGCCTTCAGGATTGCTTCCCAAAGCTTTTTGAGTGACCTGTTGTTCTTCAACCAGTGTCCAATTAGCATTGGACAGATTACTTCACTAATATTTGTTGTAGTCATGAAAAAGGGAACCTTTAAAGAAATGTGGCCTCCAGCGATCTCCACCAGCAGCAGAAAATTTAATGAAGTCATCCAGATGCTCTTCAAAATTTCAGCAGAAGCAAGCAAGCACATTTAGCATGAGATATCTGCCTTTCTGCCCATTCACAGCTGTAAAGTAAACAATGTCAAGCACATGAGGAAGACTGAGGGCCTAATTAGAAAATAACTTAATGTGTATTTATTTAGCATGCACATTAATTATGTTTTTTACTAAGAATTAAAAATGTTTCTAAGTATTTTTAAGTGCATAAAACTGAACAAAGAATTTTTACTGGGATTTTTATCTGTGAAACTTGAGGAATCAGCAGGTAACACTGTGTCTTTTACTCCAGTGCTTCAGCAAAGAACTTCTGGATCAAAGTGAGAGGTTGTTCTACTGACATGTTGCCTAATAGAGTGGTAATAGAGTGGTAATAGAGTGGTAGTGGTAGTGAAGTAGATTTTGCCTACTTCAGTCACAGTGTTGTAACAGCACGCAGAACAGCTTTGCAAGTTTTATGCTTCAAGCTGCTACAGAAGTTTGTCCAGCTTGAAAAATGTGGTGAGCTAATCAGCTAAATGCTGTCGTGTTTTTAATTTGATAGAGGTTAGCTGATACCTCTGGTTTCCTTCGCTTCTATGATGCATAAATTTTTAGTGGATTTAAGGATTACCTTCAGCAATTTGAGAAGCAGACCGGATTCCCATGCCATTGCTCCTCACACCTTAACCATTCGCAGCTATTCCCATCCCAGGATACATGCAGCACTGACTCATCTTGGAGCATTTCTCCTCTCAGGCACAAAATATTGTTGTTAGAAGCTTATTTTTCCCCCTGTGTTTATCCACAAAAATAAAGAGAAACTTGCACTGCTAGAAAAAAAATAATTCAGAAACTTGCCTCAGTTGTATTAAAAATGAGCACTGGATGGAGATACCCATATCCTTAAGACCACACAAACATTTTTGAGAGGAAAAGTTTTTAAACTCATTCCTTGAATGCATTTGAACAGAGCAGTGGGAAGAGCTGGCTGCCTCTGGAGCTTGCCTGGCATGGCAGCTTTTAGTGGGGCACAGCTGGGTCTTATGTCTCCAGGAATCTGCCCAGAGATGTGGTGGATGCCTCCTTCCTGCAGACACCCAAGGTCAGGCTGGACAGGGCTCTGAGCAACCTGATCTACCTGTGGATGTTCCTGTTCACTTCAGGGCATGGACCTGATGGCCTTTGAGGGTCTCTTCCTTCTAAAAAGATTCTATGATTCTATGAATTTCAGCCTGCCCAAAATTGATGTGAGAAATGCCTGACCTTTGCCTCCTTTTCCTCTGCCTGTCACTGTGCAGGTAAAGATGCTACAGTTTGGGCACCATGAGAGGAGCAGCAAAGGGAATTCACCACTGGAGTTGGGCTCTGCCCTCTGCATGCACGGTGTGTTCAGGGTTTCTGTGCATTCATTAATCTCATTAACTGTTTCTATTTCCCACCCCAATCTGGAGAAAAAAATAAATCCAAGTTGTGAGGACTTTAAAAGCTCTATTTTATATGACAAATGGTTTACAACACTCCTAAAATTTTGCAACTTTGCCAGGATAATTGGTGTCTTGTGAATTACAGTGGTGTATTTCTCCATTGTGTGTCCCTCAATTATGAGCAGATTCTAAGCTCTGCAAAAGAAAGACTGAGAAGCTGTTCTTGCAAGTATCTGTTTGAATGAATACTGATTCATAGCTTTCTTACATTATAATTGTAATACATAATTATTATATAAAGTGGTCCATTGAGAGCCAAATGGTTGTGTAGCCTGTGCGTTGCAAGGCATGTGCCAAATGGCTGAGGCTGAGGCCCCAGTAACTTTAGACTAACTGCAGAACTATGAATTGTGCAACATGACTTAGAAATCGTTAGCTGTGGAAATGCTGGATCGTCAAATGGAGCTAAACAGGCAAAAATTATACTCCCACAGTCCAGTTTGCCTTTAGGGAAGAGTTAGTGACTCGTTTCTGCAGTAAATAAGGAGTTGCTTTTAGAACCTGCCAAGTAATTGAATATTTTTTTTCATCCAAAATAACCTCTAATTAAAAGCAAAACAAGCAAGCAAAAAGTCTGTTTTTTTTTAAGTAGAAGGAGAAAATAAAATATTTCTATTTTTAGGGAAAACAAATTCTATTTCACTAACAGATTATATTTTGAAAAGTATCTAGGTAACACTGACAAGTCTCCAAAGGGACCTCTGAGTGTGAAGTCAGCTTTGGGAAAACATTTAACATTTTGAACTTAAGGTTTTCAGCTCATTCTCCTCTCTCAGGTGAGAAAGGAACCAAAGAGGGAAGACCTACCCGTAGTCTTTAAAGCAAGAAGCCCTAAATTAGTAACCTGGTATCTAAAAAAGTACCATACATGGTAGTAGAATTCACAGATTAGTTCTTATTTTAACTACTGTGTAGCATAGTGTAGACTTTGTAGTAGTAGAAACTCCACTGGCAGTATCATCTTGACATAAACCCAGTATGCTGACAACTGGATGTGTATCTGCTTGAAGTTTAATTTCAGTCTTCCTCTTTGCACTTTCTGGAGTCCATCTGTGGAAAAGGTCTGTCCTTGCAACTCAACATAGAAAAAATAAATGTTTAATCTTCGTGCAGGACTTGTGTTCTAAATAATAATCCATACTGAAGCCTTAAATAATTTGTAATAGATGAAAGGTGCTCATGGATTTCATTGATTCTAAGGCAGTTTCTTACACACTAGAGAGAAAATGCTCTTTCAGCATCTAAGTAAAGCTATCTCTTGCTACTAAATCCATAGAGAAAGATGGAGATTTGGTCAATAGCAGGGTCTTTTTCCATAAAACTCCAGCAATTATTTTACTCCTAGCAATACACTGTTATGCAGTAAATACTGAACTGGAAGCTGTGTTGAAACTATACTAAGATTTTGTGGGAAAGGAGGGTGAGGTTACACTGAATGTAAATCTTTGTTTCTCCTTCAGAATTGCACATCTGTTGGGAAAATGCACGTTCACCAAAAAAAAAAACGAAGTGAATGAAAGCTACCTGGGCCAGCTCTCTCTGAAGCCTCACTGTTGTTTCAAGTCATTATTTCTTCATTTTTTGTAGGAGAGAATTTCGATCAGAGTCCTTTAAGAAGAACCTTCAAGTCCAAGGTTTTGGCACATTATCCTCAGAACATTGAGTGGAACCCCTTTGACCAGGATGCTGTCAACATGGTAGGTAAAGAAATTCTCTTCTCAGGCTGTTTTCTGACAGCTTCAACTCTAAAATGGTTCCTGGGTTGTTTACAACAGAATGTTCGTATTGTAACCAGTAGGGATCTTCTGCTGGGACTAAGTGCACCCATTGGGCATTCTGCTTTAATTGCTTTAGAGGGAGAGATATTGTGAAAATACACAGTGCTTTCAAGCAAAATGAAAGGAAATTTTGTATTTCTCTCATGAGTTCTAAGTAAATCTACAGTGTGATGAAACAGATCTAACCTCCATCTCAGTAACTGACTGAGAAAGGTGTAGTCATCCATGACGCACATAAAATCAAAGAATCATTAAGATTGGAAAAGACCTCCAAAATCATCCAGTCCAACTGTCAACCTATTACCAATATTGCTCACTAAGCCACGTCCCTAAGTAGCACATCTCCATGTTTCTTGAACACCTCTGGGGACAGTGAGTCCACCACCTCCCTGGGCAGCCTGTGCCAGTGCCTGACTACTCTTTCTGAGAAAAATTTTAGGAGTATCCTAATGCCCAACATCAGATGGGGAGGAGATAAACCAAGGAGTTCTTAAGATACTAATGTTCATGTGAAATTTTTCAGTTCAAAAAAATCTTGTTGCTCTGTATAACAAGGAAGAGAAGAATCTTTTGTTGGATGATAACTTTTTATGGTATCTCTGCACTAGTGCATCCTTTCTACATCTTTCCGCATAGAATTTGTGAGTTTGTCAGTCTGGCTAAGTCTCAAGAAGAGACTTAGTGACAGAAGAGGAAACAATTTCTGAAGTTTTGTACAGGGGCAGTGAGAATTAAAAGACCACTGGAAATTTTCTGAGAGAGTTTATATTCAAAGGGTATTTCCAAAATCATCAAAGCACATGTTAAGACTGTCTCCTGACAAAGGCAACACATTATTGTTGTTTCACAGAGTTATAAAATGTCCGGAGTTGAAAGAGATCTCTGGGATCATCTTGCTCCAACTCCCCTACCAGAGACAGGGTTGCCAACTGCTAGATTAAGCACTAGATCAGATTGCCCAGGGCTCCATACAACCTGGCCTTGAACATCTCCAGGATCCACAGCCTCTCTGGGCAGCCTTTTCCAGCACCTCACCACTGTCTCAGTAAAAAAACTTCCCCATGACATCTAATCTAAATCTCCCGTCCTTTAGTAAGTTAAGCTTCCCAGGACAGAGAATAACTTGTTTTATAACTTCAAAGTGAACAGTTGTAATAGTATCATTAAAGCCAAGTCCATCCAAGTCCATTTGTTTTAAAAACTGTCTGTTTAGCCTAACTAAAATAGGGAAATTGGGAGCCCCTTCCCACCCCACTCAAGTTCAGATGTGCTTCAGACTTGAGGATGGTAGGTCTACATACTGGCTACTTCAAATTAGAATCAACTTCAGCTTCTGGTGCAGAGATGAGATCAGGAGCATCTCCTGGCCTAACAGAGACCTGGTGAACACACAAAAACCAAATGGATTTTGGAAACGTATTCTGAATGGCATTTAGTTCACATTTTGAATCTTCTCTGCAATAATGAAGGTCTGGAAGTCTCCAAAGATCGTTTTACTTTGTATGGAATTGATTTTGTTTTAAATTGTGCCAAGTATTTCACATGAAAACACGAGAGCAATAGGTAGCAATGACACCGAGAGCTGGCACAGTGGCACTGCAGTCATGTGTAGAAAGGCAGAGAAGAGCCTGAGGCCAGTATCAATCACTGTGCCCACTGACAGCTGGGAATTTCCGTCCTCTGCTTCCAAATGTGCTCTGATGGAGATGGTGTGATATGTGGGTTGGTCTCTGTACTACTTTGCATACATAGAAGGCACAGAGCAATCAGAATGATGTTCGATAGGCAGTTAGGATGATAATAACTGCTGAGGCTATTTCTGCCTTTTAGTTCTGCCTCTGAATTAGGGCTGATCAGAGGAGGAGTGATGGGGTTGGGCAGCAGGAATATGACAGCAAGAGGCGATAGCTGGAATGGCTGCATTATTTGTCTCTCGCATTGAAAATGTCTCGTATTCATAAAGTATGATCACATTGTCAGACAAAAATGGAATACTAAAAGCAGGGAGAGAACTATTAAAATAAAATAATTGAACAAGCTGTATTCATCTGAAATCAAATAGCTGAAGAACACAGCTTTCATGTACAGTGTCTTCAGAGGGGAAGAAAAAAGCGTTTACTAACAGCAGCAATATTTAATGGTCTTTTAAATCATCTTTTTGAAAACTTCTTTATTGTTTTGATCTGAAACATCATTTAAAGTAATATCCACCTCCACAGAATCCCTTGAGGCAATTATTGGCCTTTCTGATCTTGCCTTGCTGTATTAGTTCTGCCTGTGTGTTTGCTTTGTGTGAGTTTCCAGAAGCAATTTTCCTCAGAGAAGAAAATGCATAAATCCTTGAAGGTTAACTTGAGAGAACTCAGCGCTGCTGGATGCCTTGGGAATTTCAATTGCCTTTTGAAACCATCCTGTCACTTTAAAAATAACCCCCTGAAGTCCTGAGAAATCACTCTGCCTGCGAGTCATTTTTTTCTCTCTTTTAAAGTATTCAGAGTTCTATTTAATAGGGAAATATTTCTTTCCCCCCACACTGCTTTCAGTGATTATCCCTGCCTACTGTCACATGCTATCTTCTGTGACCATTCCGTGAGTTATCTCTCAAACCAAACTGAAGGTCTCGGTACAGAGCAGCTGTGAAATTGTTAGGAACTAATACTCCTACTTCAGTCCTTTTAGGTATGTAAATAACCACATATATTCCTGGAGTCCAAGAAAGCGTTGTCTGTTTAAAATTTCATCTACTGAAATAAAATAATTACAGGTTACTTTGAAAGAACGAGCCTTAATTCAATGAAAAGCCTCCGTCTCTCCCTCCCTTCCTCTCTCCTTTCCTCCCTCTTTCCACTCCCTCACCCACAGCTCAGGCTGGATGTGTGCAGCACATTGGGAGCATGAAAAATATACAGGTGCTTAAAAAGTGAAGCAGAGGAACTAATGGAGAAGAGGTGAATCATGCTGATGGGCAGTGGTCCAGGGGGAGCCTTTGGTTTAGAAACATCTGAAAGTGGTGGTTGCTGGCAGAGGGCAGAGATTACAGCCTACGCGTCCTGCCTTCATGCTTCAGTGTTTAAGGGGAAAAAAAGCATCTCCTGCTCATCGATTCTAGAGAGGAGGTATTGATTAATTGATTATTTTTTTGTCCTGTTTTGTTACAGCTTCCTTTTGCTTTTTCAGGCAGCGCTGATTATGAGCCTCATGCAAGCATGATTTAATTCCCTATTTTCCCTCTGATAAATATGTTTAAATATTCTTGTAAGTAGTGAAATACTCTGGAAATGAAAATCCAATCCTTGGATCAGCAATCTTGTGTAGTTTTCTGTGTTGTACACAGAAAACATCCAAAATGCTTTTTGCCAACTCTTTTCTCTGGCATAAATAAAAACACAGCTATGAGGGAGTGATTGATGTCCAAGGCACTAAGGTGAAAGTTTTCACGCTTTAGCTGCAAATGTGAAGCTCTCTGCATTGCTTGGAAATGAGTGCTGGTCATTCCTTTTGATCTCAGTAGCTTAAGTGGCTCTTGGTCATTCCCTTGCCTCAGTGCTCTCCTGTATTCTCTTGCTTTTCCCATGCCTTGTTTGAGGTCAAACCCAGCAGTCTCCTTGTCAGGGTTTGCAGCTAGGGACTTAAAATATTGATATTCTGCACATGCTGAGGTATGGCAGAAACTTAATGGGTGAGAGTTCCTTTGTATGTGCGCAATGAGTGTATCAGAGAGGAGAGAATAACATTTAAGACTTGTAGGAAATAAATTTAGCAACTGTTTCAGGTCATCTGAACTTCCCTGGTGTTTATCCTTTCTTGTTTGCACCAGTATATATTATTATTTGCATATCCATGTTTGTTTTTGTTTTTGTTTTTTTTTTAAAGCAAAGAAAATATGATCTGTGACTGATAGTGCAGGGATTATAACCTGTGATTTCAGACTATTCAGATTTGATAAGGCTATAGCCACTGTTGGACTGGTCAGGATGAGATGTTAGGGGAAGTGCTCAGCTGAATGGAGGCTCACAGCATTTTTGACAGCTGTCTTCTAGTGTTACCTTTTGGAACAGCGGGAGTGCTTTGAAGGGTCTCCCTCTCATCTCTCCTTTTCTTCAGATAGAAGACATGAAGGAAGCTTTGTTTATAAGCACACTGATTTGTTCAGATCATAAGAAGTTTTGTGTTGGTGCACATTCCAACATGTTTTGCTGGGTACTTGTTATTGTGTATTAGATAGCTGATAGAATTGCTGAGGAATGCCTGGAAAAATGCCTCAAGTTATCATCAGGGCTGTGTCTCAAAGAAACGCTCAGCACAGTGTAATCACTGCGATACATTTAGCTGTATGCTTAATCAAAACTGAGGTTTTCATAGATTACTTTTTTCCCACTTCTTCCTTCTGCCAATCTAAGCTGTTCTGTAGTACTTACAGAGAAAGGTAAATGTGTTAGCTGTCCATCAGCTGCTTTATTTTCTTTAAGAAAATCAGGGAAGATCAATGAATTACAAGAATTCTGCATAACTCGATTTTAAAGTACTGTGAGCACAGTGTATGCAAGTGAGAACAAATCTGAATGTCTTCATATGCTGCTTAAACAAAAGAGACAAATGCTACACAGTAGTAATGAAGATAGGTCATAATGACTTAATAGATGAGTAATTTTGAGGCTTTCATCAGTCATGACTCTCTCTTCTTTTAAGTAGCACCTGTTTTAGGCTGTTTGTTTTTGGGTTACCTTTCAGAAGGACTATGTTTAATAACAACAGTTTGTTATGATGCAGTGGAAGAAAGAAAAGTGCCCATAAGGCGAAGGTAACAAAATAAAATTGTAACTTAAATCACTGTTTCTTTTCTCTCTTCCTCAGCTATGTATGCCCAAAGGGCTGTCTTTCAGGACACAGGCTGACAACAGAGATCCACAGCTGCACTCATTCATAATCACCAGAGAAGATGGCTCTCGTACCTACGGGTTTGTGCTCACCTTCTATGAGGAGGTCACGAGCAAGCAGATCTGCACGGCCATGCAGACTCTGTACCAGATGCACAATGCTGAGCAGTACAGCAGCGTCTGCGCCTCGTCCTCATGCAGCATGGACTCCCTGGCCAGCAGCATCGATGAGGGCGATGCCACCTCCCTCGCCAAGCTCCAGCGGTACAACTCCTACGACATCAGCAGGGACACGCTGTACGTCTCCAAGTGCATATGTCTCATCACCCCTCTGCCCTTCATGCAAGCCTGCAAGAAGTTCCTGGTCCAGCTCTACAAGGCGGTTACCTCCCAGCAGCCGCCACCGCTGCCCCTGGAGAGCTACATCCACAACATACTCTATGAGGTGCCCTTGCCGCCCCCAGGCCGGTCGCTGAAGTTTTATGGGGTTTATGAGCCCATCATCTGCCAGCGACCGGGACCCAATGAGCTGCCACTCTCTGACTACCCGCTGCGGGAAGTCTTCGAGCTGCTGGGGCTGGAGAACCTGGTCCAGGTTTTCACCTGCGTTCTGCTGGAAATGCAGATCCTCCTGTACTCGCAAGGTGAGAACTCCTCCAGTGACACACGTGGGTCTGCTCCCACTAGGCAGTTCCTGGGCAGCTGCAGTTGTGGGAGCTGATAATAAGCCGCTGGTTTTCAGCAGATTTGTTAAACACAAGTACATAATGAAAAAATGCGAGAGAAATGAGGCTGTCCTAATGAAAGCACTAAATAATTGTTTCCTCCAGGCAGTCTAGGTGCCGCTTGTTTAATTATGCATTGTATTTATCACTTGTGACAGCTAGCAATAGAATTCACCTAATTATCATCCTTACACTGCCCTTGATCGTGCTGCAAGACAGCATGAAACTAATCCTATCTTCTGCAAAAATACCAGAAATACAGGAAATATATCTTGCAGAAAACACTTCTGCTGCTTTCATTTTGAACTTTCAGCAGCATATTGAAATTCAGTGAGACTTCTTTTGTCCTGTATGATGGGATACATTCTAGTTAAAGCGTGAATAGTTTTTAGCACTCAGAGGCTGAAGGTTTAATGCTGCATTGGGTTTGAGCAGAGACAGAGGCATCCCCTCACAGTCCTGATTGAAGTATTTTATGACAAGATTGCTGGTGCTTATTTTTGAGGCATTTATGACTGCAGTTGGCAAAGGCTAGCTGTGCTGGCTGTGGTTGTTTGCACAGAGCCTGTACACACTACAGTGTGCCAGCAAGTTTTTGAAAATCTGGCTCCTACCTTTTCTCTTCTGGTTTTCTTTCTGTAATGCTCTCCTGTAAGTTTTGGGAATCTTTAGTTAGTTCTAGGCAAGCTCTGAGGTTTCAGTCTCCGTTGCTCTTTTCTGTGTGTTGGTGGTTGAGCCTGACATTAGAGCTAAAAGCTGTGTGTGTGACTGCTGAGCCAGCATGCATGGCAACAAAGAAACAAATCAACTTCTAGCTTCCTGATGGCTTTCAAGGGGATGTCCAAGAGGTTCCATGAAGTTTCACTGGATGCCTGACCAAATTATTTTGGTTCCCAAGCTGTTTCTGTAATCCTGAACTATTCAAATATGCTTTGGAGAAGAAGTTAGGGGGAAGAACTTCGGTCAGACTACTATGAACAACATGAAGCTTAAAGGTATGAGTAAATTCTAACAAAAATGAGCAAAGATATTCACACCTAGTCTTCTCAGGAGGTGTGGTTCAAGCAACATCTAAAAAACCAGAGAGCTTGAAATTGAAAACAGTGTATGATGGGTGGTTTGAGATAATGAACTTCAGGCTCCAAAATTGAATACTTGGTTTTATCATGTAAAAGAAAAGGTCAGGAAGCATGTAAAAGTAATACTAATGAATAAAGGACTCCGAATGGAAAAATGCTGGGGGAAGTGGAAGGAGGATATTTCTGAAAACGACTGAATTCAAAGGGTTGTCTGTTCTTTGTGTAGCACTTCTCCACACAAACTCCAGGGGTTTGCTTTCAAGAACCAGAAATGAAGAGCTTTAGCTGCTCTCAGTTTGAAGTGTGAGCAGAAATCCTGCTGTTAGTTTTGATTAGGCTGCTTCTCTCCTCCCTTCTGCTTCCATGTGTGGATGCTTACCTCTTTCTTCCTCTGTTTGATTTGTGCGGCCTGTGCCACCTGACAGTGGAGTTCAGTACTAAGCAGCTAACACTTCTGAAATGCCTCCCCATCCCTGCTCATCATTCTCACCTTGGTCCTTGCTTGTGAACTCACAGAAAAGCTGGAAGTTTTTAGAGGAAGCTAGTAGCATTACCAAATAAAAACCAACCCCACCAAAGAAAAAGCCCTGCTTGTCAGACTGCATTTTAGTAGTGTTCTGTGCAGATATACAGCACCTGGGTGTTCATTACTTTTGTGAAAGTCCTTGAGATGGATGCAAAATATCCATTAAATATTTTTGACTCAACTTTCAAAGTGCTTCTATCAGAAATTCAGTAATAGGTGTTGTTGTCTTCCAATTATTGGCCATAATGCAAGAGTTTGCTTGTTTCTGTTTTCACCGTGGGTTGTTCTTTGGTCTGGGTTTTTTTTTGTTTGTTTGATTGTTTGTTTTAAGGGGAAGATAGTGAGAATTAATCATCTCTGCCCTCCAAAATTCAGATCTTTTTCCTTTCCCTCTACTAGCAAATCTGGAGATATCTTCGAGATGACCTTTACCTCCTGATTCAATATAGACACATCCTAATGGAGCATAGAGAAAAGCCCTTGGGTAGTTGGGTTAGGAAAGCTGTAGGATTATGTAAATGGCATCGTAATGCTGGTTCCCAAAGGTGAGAAATGCGGAGTGAAGTGCAAAGCCATGGTTTTGGCACAGCCTGATAGCTGAGCGCTTGGCTCCTGTGCTGCAACTGTTTCTAAATGTCATTCTTGCCATTGCGGAAAGAGAAAACAAAGCAGCATTCCTCTTTTTGAGATATAACTGGCCTAGGTATTACTGAAATCGCTTCTCTAAGCTTTGAGATCCATCAGGGAGAAACACTTTCTTAGCCCCAGGTTCTTTCAAAGGCAGAAGATGAAAGGAAGTAATGTTTGAAACAAAATTGCAGATTTACCCTTCCTTCCCTTTCTGCTTTAAAGACAATGGATTCTCTGGACTATTTCCAGTGGTCTGGGCCTTACTGAAGCCTTCCCAAATTCAACAGAAGATTAGGAGGAGATGGTCTTTTGTCCACAGGGTGTGATTTCAAGCAATAAAGCATTATTAACCCAAAGTCAGAGATCACTGTAATGCTGCCGTGCAGCACACCAGACATCAGAGCCCTGAGCCAAAACCTGCTTCAGCTCACCAAGCTGTTTCAGTGAGTGAGCTGCTAACAACACATGTGGAAAAAGTAAGCTGACTTTTTAATGTTTCCCCAGCCATGTTGGAAGGAAACTTTTCATTAAGGCTTGCCAAGAAGTGTGTTCATTCTTTAAAGAATAAGGACTATTTTTTGACAGTTGAGTAAAAACATAAATTGTTGTACAACCCTGACCATGGAATAAGTCTGCTGGCTGTCTGCTGGGAACCTGAAACTTCTCACAAAACATCTGCCTTCTAAAGGGAGATTACATTTTGAGGAAAGAGAGAGCTTTGAATACCTCAAATACTGGAAACAACTGCCAGAGCTCCAAGCTCTACTGGCTTCAAACCTTAGCTTTATAAGCAACCTTGGGTAGTGGGCTGCTAGGGCAAAGGACGGTGTTCAGGTGAAGGGGCACTCTATTCACTGACTGAGTTGGGTATTAAGCAGCAAAGGACGGGCAGGAAAGTTACACAAAGATGGTACTAGCTTTTCTGAAGTGTTCTTCTCCTTAGTGAATAAAAAGTTAAGGATGAAACAGTTTATTTCTAGAACAGTGTTTCCTAAACAAAGGCATGCAAGAGAGAGGAGGTGAGGGTGTTGGATGACATTGTCCAGCTTGCCCTGAAAGTGTTCCCAGCATGATACAAGGCTGTAAGGGCCAATTGGTAGGTGTTTGTGCTGTGGCTGCTGCAGTCAACTTGGTATCTAGCTACTCTGCAGTGTTTTATGGATTTTATTTATCACATCTGTTGTTCAAAAGAAGGGACTGCAGTAGGCTGTAACTTCATTTTGCATCAATGGCAATTGAACTACGGGGTGGGGAGACTGCTGTAGGAAAATGATAAGCTCATTCTTTTAAGCTCCTTGGTTCCCAAACTTTTTGGGTTGCAGGCAACTATCTTAATCTTCAATTTGTCACTGACTTGTAGTTTAAGCTTTAAAGCAGTCTAGTGCTGCAGAACTGTCACTGTGGCTTTATGAACCACAACTTGGGAACTGGTGTGGAGGATTGTGTACTTTCAGAGCAAAAGCCACTGTGACCAAAGTATTTCAATCTGAAAACACAAAGCATCTGATCCGACTGTGCTGTGGTGGTGTTAGGGCAAAACCTGAACAAAGACAGGACAGGTAAGAGCTAGCAGGGACCTGTGCTTGCGCTCTCAGTGGCAGGACAAAAAAGACAAGTTCTTAACTCTATTGGAGAAAACACAGAGTTCCATGGGCTTACTCTAGTTGTTTTCAGTAGGTAGATGCAACAGACTGCTGGAAGTGCCGGATTTGGCTTGCAAAGTTGGAAGCTGTACCTGGAGGCTCTGGAAGCAGAACTCCTGTGGCCTCAGGCTACAGCATTCTGGATATGGAGAATATTTTAAATAGTGCCAGATTTTAACACTGGACATTTTAAAACCAAAGGGAAGGTTTAGATATTTTTTCTCTGCAAGTCTACAGGGTGAAATTTCAGTATTGCAGCCTTTTAAACTTCATCCTCTAAAAATTATAGCTTGGATTATGATGTATTCCTATGACTTTCAAGAGACCTCAAGACTCCAAATGAATTCAAAAAAGCTGATACAAATAGTCATGCTTATTACTAAGCAAGACACGTGGTGTAGCAAACAGCTAATGTTGTATAAGCTTGGGGCTTACAGACTTTCCTTTAAGAAACAGATTTGCTGTTGTACGTAGTTTTATTGTAGTTTATTCAATCTTAAAAAATTAATACTCTTGCAAGTGCCCTTTATTTCATTCAGAGCACAGCTTTCCCATGTGACTCTGGCAATGTAATGGTATTGTGAGTGTCCAGGCTTCCAGCAGTGTCCAAGTTAATAACACTCTGCGATAGCTGCCACAATTTCCCAAGGATCAGTAACAGAATGCTACTGGCGTGAGATGTCTGTTGGAGAGAGATGAATTAAATCCCAGGCTCTGCAGAAACCTCAGCAATCCGTCTGTATGCCTGCCTTTCTAGGGATTTAAACTTGAGAGGGAATGTGGAAGAGACAAAGATAAACTTCTTACAGCTTTGGCAATTTCTATTCATTATAATTTTAAGCATTTCCCAAGTTGTTTTTCAAAGGGCTTGAGTAATTGCTCCTCAAAGACTGAAGCATTCTTTGCATTATTTTTTTAAAACCATAGGACTTATAGTTGAAAAGGCTGTGCTTATGTATAGGTGTGCCCTAGAAAAAGGATGTCTGGAAGATCTTTCATATGAAGACGTGAGATTGTTTGAGCCAAATACATGAATGATGT